AACTTCTTGCACACAATAGAAAAATCCCATATTTGCAAGTATAATTACCAAAGTTCGGCTGGGGGTATGGAGGCAGAAGGAGCAAAACGTCTTTCAAGGTTCGATTAGCAATCGCCAGTTACAATACGTTCAATATTTAGGTGATAGGGATACTAAAAGTTACTATAGTGTTAAAAATGTATACTCTGATATAGAAATTGAAAAGCTGGTGTTGGTCATTATCAAAATTGAGTTGGAACGCGCCTCCGAAATTAAAAAAAAAAAAGAAAAAGGCAGCGGTGGTAGAGACCGCCTAACAGATGCAACAATTGATCGTTTAAAAAATTTTTGTTAGAATTGCTACCAGGCAAAATGTGGGTAAACTTAAGGAAATGAGAGCTGGGGTGTTGACATCACTATTTCATGATGCTTCCTCAAAAAATAAGAGCTTGCATTTCCCACACTGCCCTATTGGTGCAGACAGCTGGTGCAAATACAATGCCGATAAAATAAATAAGACATCAACATATAAGCCAGCACCGAGTTTACCAATGGATGTCATTATGAAAGTACGACCTATATTTAAGGATTTAAGTAAAAACATTGAGTTACGAAAATTTTTACACGGTAAGACACAAAATGCCAATGAATCTTTTAATGGAATGATTTGGAAGCGTATACCAAAACAAACATTTTTATCATTTACCCAATTAGAAATTGGTGTATAAGATGCTGTTGCCAACTTTAATATTGGAGCAAAAGCATCTATTGATATTTTAAAGCAACTGGACATGGAACCAGGCTTTCATATGATTGCAGGATTCAAATCATTAAATAGTGAAAGATTACAAAAAGAAGAAATTAGAATGAACTCTGCTAAAAAGTTAAGAAGGCAAGTATTACGTGCCAAGAAACTGAAGAAAAATGAGAAAATAATTGAAAAAGAAGGTGACTTGTATGTTTCTGTTGGATTTTGAAAACTTTGTTTATTTTTTAACAATTTTTGTGAAAAAAATGGTATTGTTTTCAAAAATTTTAACTTAAATCGTCTTTTTCTCAAATTAGAAATTTGTGCACGCCGGCCAAATTATCTAGAGAACCGTATTACATTTTTATATGAAATTTTCAGGAAGTGTTTATCATATTATACTCTATGAAACGAATGGAATAGAATTTATTTATTTTATTAAAAATATATATATGATCTAAAATCGATGAAAATTTTGACCATGATCTTTGATTGCGCCATTTTGATGGTTACAAAATATTATGAAAAATCTGATCCATTCATTTCATAGCCCTACTTTATGATAATGTTGTTTTAAAATTTTAAAAGGTAAATATGTAAACATATTCTTATATTTTGACCAGCGTGAAGTTATTTTTGGTCATTTTAAGGGTGTTTTTTGGTTACCAAGGAAACCACCAATTTTTTTTTATTTTTTTTTTAAAAAGGTTTATAGTTTACTAAAACCTAGAAACCCATAACACATTTTTTCGAAAATTCTTAGATTTAAAAACAGAGTGGGGTAGCCTCTTAAGATAATGAATTCCAACGTGTCTTGCAGTCTAAAATAGGTTCAAGTTCATGTCCGAGTTCTAATTTTACATGCTTCTGCAATGTATCACCATTTTTTACAGGTGATTTTTTAAACAATTATATTATTGTGCGAACTTTTTTTAAAATTGAAAAATAACTTTTGACAAGAACAGATACTTGTGAACTATTTTTAAATTCAATGTAGCCTAGATCTTCACTTTAATTAAGCTCTTCACTGTCATCTTCACTACCATTAATATTATCATCATCATCAATAATATCTTTCTGGTCTAATATTTCTGCTGGCTTTACATAAAGTACATCCTCTACTGCCAAATGAATTGCATGGGCATAGCAGATGTGATGTAGTGGCTTGATTAAACGTCCAAATTTACCATAACAGATGTACCGTCTGTAGTTGTGCTACAATTATTATAGTTAAAATCTAGTTTAACCTATCACTCACTCTCAACCGCTTTTTTAGATGGCATATTCCAAACAACACGTATAAGGCCAAGATTAAAAAGGCTTTCATTTGTGTGCACATTAATGTTCATATAACCACGCGTTTTAATTGAAGTGTATTCATCAACAGGTAAGCTAAATCTCAAATTGTTAGCTTTTATTTTTTTTTAATTCTGACGCCAATTGAGTGTTAATGTCTTTGGCATGAGCAATTAAAATATATATTTCTAATAGAAACTGAACTTGAAGGTATTTTGTGTGCTTTGACTAAATTAAATTCTCTTTACTTTTAGCAACAGCATTAAATGAAAGTCCATCAATTGCGTTACAGGTTTTGCATTTAACAGTTTCGTTTATTTTCCACTTTAAGAAATGCTGCTAAACAGAAGTTTTGATTGATAAAAAATAATGCTTTTAAGTGTAAATAGATTGACAAGCTGTTGTACGCGGATTTAACAACATTATAAAAAGTAATATTTTGTAAAAATACTTAAAAACCGAATACCGGAACAAAATAGATCCTGGTCCGGATCTTAAATTTAGGACACAGGTACCCAGGTATTTGGATCTGGATCTTTGATTCCGACTATGCCCTATTTGCGATTTCTGTTTTGTATAATGGTTCGACCTTATCACGATGCACATGCATTACTGTAAGTTTTCCTAACCGCTGGTCCTTCATGGATGCTCTGATATAACTTGACAATCTGCAAAACGCAGATGCACAATTCTTGCATTCACAAGACTTTATTGGAAAAGTACAGCCAATGCATAAGAGTGTATGAACATTTGGAAGATCTTGCTTATCGTATTTCAACAATCAAGCTTATAAATATTTTAGTTTTAGATCTTCCATTTTATCACAAAAGTTCTTCCAGAGAATAATTTCTTCCTCAAGCAGTCCTAGCGGAGGTAGATCGTTACTATAAATTTTGACAACATCTTCAAGACTTTTGATTATGTCACAAATTGAAGCTTGAGAAGCATTTTCACGAAGACATACAATAGTTTTATAGCTTGACTAGATTGTTCACTAAACATTAAATGGAGGTCTGATATAATGTAATCCAATTAAGGAATCGGAATGTTACGCTTGCAAACCTCATGTGGAATATCAGCTGGAATGTGCTGACAAAAAGTTTTCCGTTGAACTGCCTCAGATGTTATCGCATCAACGCCCAAATGATCTGCTGTTTTTACAGCATGTGTGAAGATAGAGTTAGATGATTGTTCAAGTTGAGCATCACGTCTGTGTTTTGATTCTAATACAACTTTCTGTACTCCTTTGTATGCGCCAACCACATTTTGTAAAAAATAGCTGTGGCTCTCAAATATGATATCAATCATATAACCGGTAAATTAATAAATTCAAAATTTTTTTAGACAGAGAACTTCTTCGAACCTCAGGTGTCCAGCTTGACAAATCTTTATTTTTACTAGTTTATACATTCAGTTGCAATTTATCGGCAATAACTTTAGACAAAATAGCAATATAGCATAGCGCATCATATAAATAATGATAGGCATTAGTTTTCTCTATCCATCTTGTAATACAGATATTCAGGAGACTTTTTCTGTGAGTAGCGTCTTTTCTTATTATGTCAATTAGCAAATTTCAAGTTGTTCTCTTTTAGTTGAATTATTATTCCATGGTGTTATAACCTTTAATTATATAGATAATTTTAAAAGATTATGTATTTACGGAGTAGCGCAGCTATGAGATATAATTAGATTTAGGCAGTAACTTTGACAATGTTCGTAGAATGCTAAGCTATTGTCTGTCAAAATAGCCTTTGCAAAACCAACTCGCATGTTGCTGGCTCCATTATAACCTTAGCCAGGAATATTTTCAAGTTGTAATCAATGGTCTAAGAGCCATTTCTTTCTCAAATGATAAAAAGCATGACCTGTAATTCTGTTGCTGGAATAACATCAAGAACTTCTTCTCGAATAATACTTTTAAAGTCAACAAACTGAATTAAAATCACCACTTTTCCTTTATTGTGTAAGGATACTTCAATTATCAGAAGAGTATAATATTTAGCCTTTTTTATTTCTAGGAGAAGATCAACTTGAATCACATGATAACCAACAATGTCATTAAGTTCATTTTAAACTATTCCAAAAAGATATGTAGCATTCTTTAGTCTTGGTGAATAAAGATATGTAGCATTTATATGTAGCATTTATATGTAGCATTGTGAATTGAGATATGTAGCATTTATATGTAGCATTCTTTAGTCTTTGTAAATTTAACTCTGAATTATGTTTTGCAAGAGGCTGAAACATTGCAATAAGCTTTTCTTTGTTGACATTTTTATTTTTATGACATTATTATTATTAGATATCTTTTCGTTAAATCCACGAAATGATAGATCTTGTTTCTCTATAAAAAGAGTTGCTTCAATAATGCAAACTTCAAGGATGTCTTTGTTAAAATGAATTCTTTACTGCAATGTTGTATCAAGCGTTATGTGTATTTGTGTAATGGAATTGTTGCACATTCTCTTTGCATCATCCAAATACTCCAACGCATACGGATGGTATTTGTTTGAAACATCTTTAGCAAAATTTTTTGCTAAATTTTTCCCGTCATCAGCTGGAGTTAAAACAACTTGTCCTTTACCTTCCGTACTACCAGGTGCCGAAAAAAAAATACAAGCACCACAGAATAAATTATTTTTTTCTTTACTGTACCTCAAATATTGATATTTATCAAGCAATTTAATGAGGAAACATCGCTTTTTTTCATCACCTGATAAATAAAGTGGTGTTGACACAGGTCGGTGATGTTTGTTATACAAATTGAATTTTCCTGCATAGGGTAACAATTGCAGTGTTTTAAGGTCTAACATTCCAATATGTTAACAAAGATGAGCACAAGTATCACCTTGTTGTGCTGCATTACCATCATGCCAGATTGTTGTTCTACTTATCATCAATGTCAGATTGTTAAGTTTTATTACCATCAATGTCAGATTGTTTAGCTGACATTGATGTCAGCTAAACAATCAATGTCAGAATGTTGAGCTTATCATCATCACTGCCTGATTTTTTTGCTACATTTTCGAATACTGTGCTACATTTTCAGCACTTTCAGCTGGATTGTGTTATGTCTAAAGTGTTTCTAGTAGCTCTCAGTTTTCTAAAGAAATTTGTAAGTCAGTGATTTGGCTGCTTCTTCATAACCTTTTGTTCTCTGGCATGCTTGAATTCTGAACCCGATTTTTTTCTATTAGTTGATTGTGACATTTCTAAAAATATAATTTTTAATTAACATATAAAATAAATAATTATAATTTTTTGTATTGTATTAAATATTGTTTGTTTAAATTGGCCTTTTGCTCAGTGATGTTTTGTTGAGTTTACACTTGTAAACTTTTGTATCGAAAAAACACAATTATAAATAACTTTTTAAATTTTTGTATATCTTTTTTTTATACCCGTTTTTTACAGCAGACATGTTACCATTATACATATATAATTTTAAAATATTTGGTAAAAAAAATAAAAAGTACTTAAAACTGCAGTGTTGCAACTAGCCCCGCGCTCCCCTAATAATAATACAATTTATAAAATATATTTTATTTAACAAAATGTTATAATTAATTGTATTTAAAAATTATATAAAAAGTTTATAATAAATGTTTAAAACCGAAACAAAAAAATAAACAAGAAATCAATTCATCTATTAGCAAATCAATTAACGACTTAATTAGACAACCGAATAAACTGTATTTGAAAAAGAAAAAATATAATTTTGAAATGAAACAAATAAATTAGGAAACTAAATCAAGTATAAAAACAACGTTTAAGCTCACATTAGTGAGCTTTTATTTCACTTTTATTTATTTTGTTATAATTGTTTATTTATTAAGTTAATTTCTTTATATTTATTAATCACCCACTGTTTATAATACAAGGTATATTGTTATAAAGTTACATTTTTGAAAAGAAATAAGTTTATCTTGGAATATTTATTTAAAGAATATCTTTGAAAACTTTTCTTTGCTTCAATGAGTTCCAGAACCCAATTGCATAGCGTAACCTTTGAAGATCATTTTTAGGAATAATATTTTTTAATACAATAATTTTTTTTTTTTTTTTTTTTTTGCATTTCATTTCGATTGCATAAACCAATGACATTATCTAAGAAAGGGTGCTTAGCGGTTTGGTTTTTAAATTACAAATTTACAATAACAAAGGTTGTTTTATTGCTTAATATGCGAATAAATAAGTTTACCTTATTTTGTTGAATGATTGTTGATACCTTCGACCATATAAACTATGTGCAGTAGTCATAAAATTATTGCTAAATATTTAAAGATGAGATTGTACCACAAAGTTGACTCGATCAACGATTGACTCGATCGACAATTTGCTACATAATAGGCGTAAACTGTATTAAAAAAGCAAGTTTTATTTTCGAGTCAATAAAAAGTTATTTTGTATATTAATGTAATGCATAAAAAAACACATAAAATTATATAAGCTGTTACGTTTTCGATTCTAAGAAATCTAAGAATGCATTAAAATAATAATTGATACAAGTAATAAATTTAATAATACTTTAAACAATGATAATAATAATAATGTTTACTACAAAAAATTTTATTTAACGAAAAGTTTTCTATTATTAAAGCTTTATTTCGTTTGCATCGCGTTTTGTTTTGCCCAAACGTGACGTCACGCGCTAAAAGATGCTGGCTTCAAAATATTTAACTTACGGCGAGTCTATCAGTTTATATGGTCGAAGGTTGATACATTTTGGATGTAAAACAAAAAATGAATATAATTTTTGCTGTGTTTGGAAACATTGAAGAGTGACTTAAGTGCATTACTTTGAACTATATTAAACTTTTGCATTACTTCGCCTTTATAATCACAAAGTTCAAGACCATGCTTATGTACCGGAACCGCGAATGTTTTATATAGCTGGTCAATAGAGTTTGATTATGGCCCTGAATTTTGATATTCTATTATCAATATTTAAACGATTAAGTGAGGCAAAAGAAGAGCTTTTAGTATCACATATTAAACCTAGATGTTTAAGTTTATCATCCAGTTTAATTTATTGATGGTCCACTGTTATCGCGCAGTTTGCAATTTGTTTTTTTCTGGTGAACAAGAACTCGGTCTCATTAGCATTCAACTTTATACAATTTGCGTTAGTGTATATATTACAAGTACCGTAGCGCAGGAAAAAGAACCAATAGCACCCAAGCTAAATGTTTTTAGACACTAAATAGACGATTAAATAAACTATAAAAAAGCGGTAACCCATTTGTCCTGCCCGTGTTGTATTTACTAAATATTTACTAAAATAACTATTAAATTAAATGAATATTCCAAATTTTATTTTTATTAACCAACTCTGATTTTTATTATTCAATATTCTATTGCAAACATTTGAAGGGCGCAAATAGGACGAGGCGGATGAGGGGTTGGAGCATGTGTTCCTCTGTGCTTCCCCCATCCCCTTCCCACGGTCCTGTTAATGTAATCATTATTTTTATTATTATCAAATTAAAATGAATTTGAAAAAAAACAAAACCTTCTGAAATGTTATTGTTTCATTATTTCGTTTTCCAAAGATTAAATGAAATACCGAACTAAAGATAAAAAGTTCATTCATTAAAAAATTGGCGCGATTGTTATTAAGACTGATATTTTTATTTTTATTCATTTATAATTTAAAAACAGTTGACTTTTAATTGCCAACTAAAATAAAGTTAACTTTACTCTGATCAGAGTCAAGATAAAAGAAGCATTCATGAATGCTTTTTTTAAAATCGTTCTTTTGAAAAAAATTTCATAAATTACATTGTCTTAAAGTTTCATGACAGGTTTTTGAATTAATTTATTAATATAATTAGTTTTTAAATATAGTTTAGGACATTCATTTTTTTAAATCTAACGTTTGGTTAGTAACCAAATGAGTTTTTAACGTTAAGCAAATACGTTACGTAACTACTCTTAATTTAATTTTATTGTCTTGAAGAAAAAAAAAGTAGCTATAATAAAAAGAAACTTATAGTTATATACTTCTGCATTTGAAACCGAAATTTTTTTTTTCTTATTTTTTATAAAAAAATTAAAATAAAATTCAAAATTATTTTTTGGGAGTTTTATTTTGGGCGCCCATGCTGCTCCAGCAATACCAAAATAGGTTTGAGTTCGTCCCTGACCTGGAACCAGGAGATTATATAGAAGGCACGTTTATCTTCAGAGTGAGAAAAGACATCATTCCATAGGCTGTTACGAAGAAAATCACAGAAAGAATCCTAATCAGCTTTAGGGAAGTAGTACGTAGTGCGATGATAGGGTGAGTCTGAAATAAAAGTATGAGGCGAAAGATTTATAGAGAACAATGCATGGTCAGAACCACCTAAGGAATTAAAGGAAAAACAGAGCACAAGCTAGGATCAAAGAAAAGACAAAAATCAAGAAGTGAAGGTATATGATTAAGAAGTGAAGGTATATAATTAAGAAGTGAAGGTATATGATCAAGAAGTGAAGGTATATGATCAAGAAGTGAAGGTATATGATTAAGAAGTGAAGGTATATGATTAAGAAGTGAAGGTATATGATTAAGAAGTGAAGGTATATGATTAAGAAGTAAAGGTATATGATTAAGAAGTGAAGGTATATGATTAAGAAGTGAAGGTATATGATTAAGAAGTGAAGGTATATGATCAAGAAGTGAAGGTATATGATCAAGAAGTAAAGGTATATGATTAAGAAGTGAAGGTATATGATCAAGAAGTGAAGGTATATGATTAAGAAGTGAAGGTATATGATTAAGAAGTGAAGGTATATGATTAAGAAGTGAAGGTATATGATTAAGAAGTAAAGGTATATGATTAAGAAGTAAAGGTATATGATTAAGAAGTGAAGGTATATGATTAAGAAGTGAAGCTATATGATCAAGAAGTGAAGGTATATGATCAAAAAGTGAAGGTATATGATTAAGAAGTGAAGGTATATGATTAAGAAGTGAAGGTATATAATTAAGAAGTGAAGGTATATGATCAAGAAGTGAAGGTATATGATCAAGAAGTGAAGGTATATGATTAAGAAGTGAAGGTATATGATTAAGAAGTGAAGGTATATGATTAAGAAGTGAAGGTATATGATTAAGAAGTGAAGGTATATGATCAAGAAGTGAAGGTATATGATTAAGAAGTGAAGGTATATGATCAAGAAGTGAAGGTATATGATCAAGAAGTGAAGGTATATGATCAAGAAGTGAAGGTATATGATCAAGAAGTGAAGCTATATGATCAAGAAGTGAAGGTATATGATCAAGAAGTGAAGGTATATGATCAAGAAGTGAAGCTATATGATCAAGAAGTGAAGGTATATGATCAAGAAGTGAAGGTATATGATTAAGAAGTGAAGGTATATGATCAAGAAGTGAAGGTATATGATCAAGAAGTGAAGGTATATGATCAAGAAGTGAAGGTATATGATTAAGAAGTAAAGGTATATGATGAAGAAGTGAAGGTATATGATTAAGAAGTGAAGGTATATGATCAAGAAGTGAAGGTATATGATTAAGAAGTAAAGGTATATGATTAAGAAGTGAAGGTATATGATTAAGAAGTGAAGGTATATGATTAAGAAGTGAAGGTATATGATCAAGAAGTGAAGGTATATGATCAAGAAGTGAAGATATATGATTAAGAAGTAAAGGTATATGATTAAGAAGTGAAGGTATATGATTAAGAAGTGAAGGTATATGATTAAGAAGTGAAGGTATATGATCAAGAAGTGAAGGTATATGATCAAGAAGTGAAGGTATATGATTAAGAAGTAAAGGTATATGATTAAGAAGTGAAGGTATATGATTAAGAAGTGAAGGTATATGATTAAGAAGTGAAGGTATATGATCAAGAAGTGAAGGTATATGGCTGGTCATAAATCTGAGCATGAGAATAAAAAATACTGAAGTTAAAGGCTTTAGTACCAGCAGGTGTTAGAAGTTATACGCTTTAGTACCAGCAGGTCAGTGGTGTTAGAACCAAGCCATTCAGTTTGATGAGTCAAGGTCACCAATAACATCAATAATGACAGAATGATAAAAAGAAAGGTATTGTTATTTTAATTAGAAATTACATCTAAAAGTGTGCAGTTTTGAGAAAAAAAAAAATAATAACGAACCCAGAGAAATGTGATAGAGTTAAGAGATGCTAAGTGGAAGTACAAGATTGGACAAGGAGTTCAAAGCTGATATCTGGGCAAACACATGAATTTATGCAAAAATATTCAACAAGTAGAGCCTTTGCGAATTAAGGATCGTTCTCATCAATACTGAGATTTGGAGAAGAAACAGCTGAATATATATTAATCTTACAAAGAGCAAGCAAGTCTAGTAAAATATGCAACAGGTTCAATTTAACTGATGGAAGGTTACTTGCATCAGTTGAATCTAACTTGTTGTTTTTAAAAACATTTTGCAAAAACGTATATGTTTTTAATTGTTGTTGTTGTTTAGAAACATCTAAACAAACAAAAAAAAGAAACAAACAAAATAAAAAAATTAATTCGACACAAATAAAAACGTTAGCGCTCGCGTATTTATTTAACAATGTCAAAAGTTTTTGTTTTGAAACGAACATTCATCGATTTCTTATCGAATTTGTTTTTACTCTTACGGTTTTATAAAAATATTTTCCAGTTGATCTTAATACAAAAATTTAAATTGTAAATACCAGGGGCGGATCTAGGGTGTCGCCACTAATGCGCGTGCATCAGTCCTTTTGCACCGCTAAATTTAAGTGTATCTCTTTTTCACTTTTTTTTCATAATAAAAAGTTAAACTAGAAATTAGAATCTGATATTCTCAAAAAACGATGACTTGTTTTAAGATTCTACTTTTAAGAGTTCTAAAATCAAAAACTACTTTTAAGAGTTCTAAAATCAAAAAGAATTTTAAAAGATTTAATATATTTAAAATATATTAAATCTTTTAAACTTCCTTTTGTCTAAAATATTATTTTTAACTTTATTTAACTGATATATTTTATATAAGTTATAATGAATCAGTAAATAAAAATTATGCCACTGTTAATTAGTTATGAAGTATCAGTTAATAAAAGTTTAAAATATGTTAAATATTTTAAACTTTTGTTTTTTAAGTCCAAGTCTCCTATAATCTTTTGAACTTATGGCCATGCCAAAGTAAAAATCCAACGAATCGCTATCTGTTTTGATTTAAAAAAAAAGTAAAACTTTCACATTTTTTTGATAAAACACTTTTACAAAAAGTTTTTTTATAAGAAAACTGGGTCAGCTACTGCATATTATATGAAGTAAAAAGCAAAATGAAAAGAAATATAGAAAATAATAGTTATTTTAGGTTATTTAAGTGCTCCCAGAAGTCCGGTCTTATCACGAAGCACCGCGGGATAGCATTTATCTAGAAGTTTCCCGTACCAATGTCACTTGGTTCTAAGCTAGCCATTCCAGACGATTTTTTTATAATTAAAATATTCACACATAATTGATGTCATTGTATAGAGCTTGGTTTGACTTAAAAAATGAGGGGTCATTTGGCCTTTGAAGTTAAGCGGATCAAAAGTTATTGACCTTTTTGTAGTGAAAAAACGGGTAATTTTTTGACAAAAGGTATAGGGCTTAAGTATGGAAAAATTACTGCGAAATGGCACCGAAAATGAAAGTATTATTGACATTTGAATAACTTTTGAACCGATGATACATTTGACTTGAAATTTTACATAGTGACCAATTAACTATAAGAAAATAAAATTCCAAATTTTTTTTTTAGAAATCTGTCAGGATTGACCAGAATTTATCTATTTTACAGACCAGAATTTTTACTAATTTATACATTTTTAGGGTCATACTGACGTTTTAATAACTTTTGAATCGTTATTACATTTGAATTGAAATATTCTATAGCAATCCAACAACTATAAGAAAATAAAAAACCAAAATTTTTTTTTTTTAAATCTCTCAGGATCTACCAGGATCACCTATTTTACAGACTGAGAGTTTTTACTAATTACTATATTTTTGGGGTCATACTGACTTTTGAATAACTTTTGAATGGTTATTACTTTTGACTTGAAATTTTTCATAGTGATCAAAAAACTATAAGAAAATAAAAAACCAAAATTTTATTTTAAAAAATCTGTTGCGATTGTCCAGAATCATCTATTTTACAGCTGAAGGGTTTTACATTATTTTCTTAGTTTTGGAGAATAAAATTTGGGGTGATATTATAATTATACCATGTGAATATGCATAAAAGAATCATGGAATCCAAAAAATAAAACATTTGAAAACTATTGCGTAATTTACAGACCGGTCAGTGAAATAATCATATAAATTACTTTTCAGTCAGTAAATTGCTGAAAATGGGCTGTTCAAACAAATTAAACATATCAACTTTAAATAATTTGTAATTTTTTTAAAAATTTTAATGTTTTTGAACCGTTATTACATTTGACTTAAAATTTTAATTAGTGATCCAGTTTTTATTAAATCTGTCGGGATTATCCAGAATTGTTTATTTTACAGACTGAAGGGTTTCTACTTATTTAACTGTGTTATGATGAAAAAAATTATGGTTGCACTATGCAAATATGCATAAAGGAATCATGGAATCCAAAAAATAATTTTCAGACCTGTCAGTAAAACTATTGGATAAATTACAGACCGGTCATTAAGTTACAGAAAAAGGGATGCACAAACCAATTGGGCATATCGACCTTAAATATATTTGATATATTTGAACAGTTATTATATTTGACTTGAAATTTTAAATAGTGTGCCAGTTTTTATTGAATCTGTTGGGATCATACAGAATCGTCTATTTTACAGACTGAAGAAATTTGAAATTAAAGTTTTTGATAGAGATACAAAAAAAATTATGGCATTTAATTTTCTTATATACTATAAGAAAATTAAATGCCATAATTTTTTTTGCATCTGTCAAAATTATCCAGAATTGTTAATTTTACAGACTAAAATGTTTTTATTTATTTACCTAGTCTTTTAAAAATGAATTTAGATTTAAATCTTTTAGAAAAAAAAGAAAAAAGTTTAGGTTATGTTATAAAACTTCATGCTATATGCATAAAGGATTGTGGAATCCAATTAATTCATCTGTTTAAAACTTTTGCTTTATTTACAAACCGATTAGTAAATCACTGCGTAAGGGCATAGAAATAAATCATTCAGAATTACCTATTTAACAGACAGAAGATTCTTTAATAAAACTAAAATTCAAATTTGAACTCTACCTAAAATTGTAATAAAATTATTATTAAAAACAATACATCTAAATACATACAATCTAACATCAAATAACATTAGATACACAATAATTTAAAAAAAATATTTGTTAATTCATTTTAAAAATTAAAAATTAAAAAAAGTTATAAATTAACAATTAAAACTAAATAAATATAAAATAAGAAACTTATTTTTTGAGATTTGTGAACTATCGACAACACCTAAGATGAAAAAATGAAAGCAACATTAAAACAAAAAATATTGTTTGTCTAAAATTTATCTCTTGGCTTTTAGTGAATGATTAGAAGTAGTTTCAGTAACGAAACAACCTAATAATCATTTTTAACGATAGACACCAGCGAGAAGGTAAGCCAAGTTGTCTATCAACACAAAACATCACAACAATAACATCACAATAACAAAACACAGACCCTGTGGCACTAAACGCTGCAAAAAACGCTGGGGCAGATATTCTAATGACGCCCTTTCTTTTTTAGACAAGGAGCAAAAATGCATTGTAAACATAGTTGGACCTGCTCTTGCAGCCAACCTCCAACCATTATCACATCGTTGTAATGGTGCTTCTCTTTCTCTTTTCTACAAATATGGGCACTGCTCTAAATAGCTAGAGTCCCTTGTTTAACTACTAAATTTCATTCTCTTGTGACTGTTTCCAAGTGCTCCAAAAACTCTTATTCTTCTATTTTTTTCCTCGAACATCAGTTCTTTGGAATTCGCTTCCTTTATCTTGCTTCCCTGTTTCATATAATTTGCAATCTTTTAACTCATCTGTCAATTATTATCTTACTCTACAAACTTCATCTTTTCTCTTCCAGTAACTTCCAACTCCTACAATGATTGCTTGCAGCCTAGTTGGAACAACTCACAAATATACATACAATGACTTACTGTTGTTTCAATGCTGTGCCACAAGACCAACAAACACAAGCATAAATAAAAAAAACAAAAACTTGATCAAAATGACTAACCTGCATTATCAAATGAAATTATAGTCATTCCACAGTTCCAACAAAAGAGTAAGATACATATAATGACTTACAGGTAGATAAACACAAAGATACACATAATGACTACATAAATACAAACATACATATAATGACTTACGGGTGGGTCAGCACCGCTCCAGAGGTCCAACAGAACACAAACATACACATAATGACTGATAGGTACATAAACACAAACATACATATAGTGACTTACGGGTGTGTTAACACCGCTCCAGAGGTCCAACAGAACACAAACATACACATAATGAGTAACAGGTATATAAACACAAACATACATATAGTGACTTTGGGTGTGTCAGCACCGCTCCAGAGGTCTGACAGAACACAAACATACACATAATGACTAACAGATACATATACACAAACATACATATAGTGACTTACGGGTGCGCCAACACCGCTCCAGAGGTCCAACAGAACACAAACATACACATAATGAGTAACAGGTACATAAACACAAACATACATATAGTGACTTACATGTGCGTCAACACCACTTCAGAGGTCCAACAGAACACAAACATACACATAATGACTAACAGATACATAAACACAAACATGCATATAGTGACTAACAAGTGAGTAAAAACAAACATGCAAATAATTGCAGACACACCTACAAAAACATACATGCAAACACAAAAAAATGTAAACACAAGGATACATATATTGACAGGTATGTCAGCACAAAAATAGAAAGCATGAATTACGGGTATGTCACCATGACGGCAGATGTCCAATAGAAAACAAATATACATATAAAGAATTGTCGGTGTGCCAACACCGCTCCAGATGACCAAACAGAACACAAACAAGAACACATTAAATTGAATGACAATAAAAAAAATAATAACAATAATATTATTAATAATAAGAATAATAACAAACATAAATACAATAAATTAAATCCCCATTGTGTCAAAAATGATATTAACTGCATTTTTGTTTTTTACAAACTTCACCCTCCACATAACCATCAGCTTTTCCCTCTACCACAACACATTTCATCCTCCACTCTTTGACCAACTCAATATCATACTTATCTTCATATCCATCATATAGTATCTGAAACTCACACTCTTCATCAAATTCATTGTCGTCTAGAACACTAACCACGAGCCCTGAATACCATACATCCTTGCCATCATTATCTACCATTTTATGTTTTATTCTTTTTCCTAAAAATTTTGGAACCCCTCCCTTTGATGTGCCTGTTCTTATTTTACTTCCAGTTTCCATAATTAACCTAGCGTCACCCTCTAATCCGATTTTTTTTTTTAATGTTAACAACATTTCTTGTCTTTCATTAATCTGTCTGATAACTGAACATTTTATTGCAGTTGCGCGTTGTTCAGGAACGTCTTTTAAAAATTTAAAAATTGATATTAGATTGGTTTTTAATTTATCAATACCAAATATTTTGTAATACTCCCCTTTTGCCTTTTCTCCTAATTGTAACCACTTTTCTGGAAATTTTTGCTGTAATACTTTTTTTCGAAATTTAATTTGTCTTTGCAACTTCATTACAATTTCATTTTCAGTTCCTAAAATTTTTTCAAAATCCTCTTCACACAAAATTAAACCACCATCCTTTCCGATTTCTGTTGTCAAAAACTCTTTCTCTTCGCTTGCCTTTTGTTCCTTTATTTCCTTTTCTAAGTTGCGCTTGTCCATCTCATCAATTTTGTACTGCAATATATTTGCTTTTTTCTCTCTGTACTTTCTTATATACCCTTTTCTATTTCGCCTTGCTAATATAACTAGCCTTTCAATTTCTTCCTGTGATTTTCCATCTATCCAATCAGCTGTTTTGTTGTTGTTAAACATAATCACATCAGCTGCAGCTACTGTTGTCATGTTAGGTTTCATTTTTAACCTGCGGTCATAGGAAGCAAAGTCACGTTCAGACACAACATTAGTACGTGGGCAGTTTTGAGTTTCTTCAAGCACATCATCAAAAAATGTTTTTTAAAGTCCAAATTTTTGGCTCGATTTAATTTTACAATGTAACCTTTTAACTTTTTTAAGATCCTTATAAGCATCACTCTAGAGATATTATACTTACAGTAGGTTGTAAAAAATAATGAAAGATTTTCTAATGTTATGTTATGTTTATTTTTGTCTTTGCAAATTTGTAGAAAATGACTATTGGTTAACACAAAATCAGGATGTTTGAGAGAAATAATGCCATCATTTATATCCAGAAAATCCAAAATATTCTTGCAGGTTGCTTTTTCAGACAACACTTTGGTAGCTAAAATTAATATTAAATTTAATTTGAGTGATTACAATAAATCTATTGTTAATCAAAGAGTTGAAGTTTGATAATATCTAGCTTTGTGAAAATAAAATAAAGGTAGATCATCAAGCTTAAGATTCTATAAATAAAATTATTGAAATATAAAATATTTGTTATACATTTTTCCGGATTTAAAAATTTAAAAAGTCTATCAAAGTATGACTTACATTCTTGACTTATAGATTGAACCACCATTTCACGTAGATTGTTAAGTTCACAGCCTAAAGAAAAGAATTTGAATTTGAAATTAAAGTTCATTGGTTATTTTCCTTAGCCAATAAAAAATATAAAAATAAATGAAGAAAAAAATGATAACATTCTTACACATTTCCATATTGTAAACTTTAGACTAAAAGTTTAGTTAATTACTATTTCTTTTTGTTTTGAAAAAAACAGTTTAGAGAATCTACAGACTAAAAACAGTGAGAATCAAGCTTGTAGTTGAGCAATCCAGAAAAAATACCTTTAAAAATATAAAATCTTTATTTTTATTGCCTTGAAAATTCAAGTCATTAATAAGGAATATACTTTCATTTTCAATTTTATTTGTAGTTAAAATTTCGGAATTGCAAAATCAAAACAAAAAACGTCATAAAATACGCGAAGAAATATAGATGTATATATACAGAATTCTAATATACAAATCCGAAGCACCTATTTTTTAAGAAAACATAATTAAACACTTGTTTTAAAAAGAGGAAAGGCTGAATTTGCTATTTCCACTTGAACACTTTCAAAAATCACTTTTTATTCTATAATAATTAACCTTGAAGTTTTTAAACACTGAGAACTAAAAATTTATGTATAAATGTTAAAAAGTGTTCACATTCCATTAGATTCCTCAACCTTTTTTTAATATATACGGAAAGTTTTATAAAAATTGGATTTGTTTTGGTACTTCGGAATCCTTACCTCCAAAAGCTTCGT